TATGAACAGAAAATCAATTAGTTATAACACTGGTAGATTGTTCACCCTCCCGAGTTATGCATAGCTTTTTTAGTTATTACCCAGATATTCCTGTTGATTGAATTCCACCCACAACAAGTATTTGAAAAAACACGTCTTATATTTCACATATATATGAACTCAGCTGAGCACATGACAATGAGATAAAAAACGATGGAATTCATCTGTGACTGGGCAACTAAAGGAGCAATCATGTTACAGTTGCGTTCAATCTCTGACCGCTTGGCTTTGGTCTTGAGTGGAAAATTAAAAATGAATTATTCACATCAGAAGGGGCGGGGGCAAGGGCAGGGTGACACTAAACATTATAGAGGGGTTGAGATGAACCAATTCATGGGGCGGAATTTTGGAGAATTTCCATCGAGAGTGGAGCTTTAGCTTTGGTGAACCGCTGGCCCCAACCCATCTCACAGACTGCAAGAAAAAAAAAAGGGAAGAAAGCAGCCATGAAAACAAAAGAAAAAGAATAAAGCGGACATACCTCAAAGATGGAACCAGATCACAACGAAGCCAAGAACAGCATGCAATTGAAGAAGATAAGGGCTTTATATAGGTGAAGAAGAATGGCTGTTACCCCCTTTTTCAGATAATCCCATCTGCAGTCTGGATTAGGGTAGACGAAATGGGTTTAAGGGGTAGAAATGTCCTCTACTTTGGAACATTCAGTGATCAAGAACGAAAATGAGATTCAATATAAGTGTTATGATTTTAATGTGAGTGAGAGAAGTTGTTTTCATAAAAGATTTGATTTTCAGAAATACAAATAGAGATGGGACCGAGAAACACAAAGAGCCAAACATCATTATCCATCACAGAACCCAATAGCACCCATCCTTGATTAATAAAGAATGAAGGCAACCCATAACTCTTTTGTAAGTGAAACCATAAAGAAACCAAAAGCTCAAAACTAACCCAAATAAATCCTCAACTCGTATTCTCCTTCGAAGATTTTACTATTTCTTTCCAACCGAACAATCCACAAAGATGGTTCCCTGGAGATGTGCAAACAAAAGCAAAGACACTACTATGGGGAATCACCCAATCTTCACTTCCAGATGTGCAAACAAAAACAAAGACACTACTATGGGGAATCTTCACTTCCAGGGGTAAATTCTGCCATAAGCTCAAAGCAAGAGAACAATGGAGAAACGATGGTCAATGCTCTGACCATTCCTCCTATACATGACAAACCAATTGGGAGAACACCACCAATAGGCCTTCTTATTGGAACTATATCACCAGTATTAATCATCCCATGAGTAACAGTCCATACAGAAAGCCTATACGGTACTTCAGCATTCAAAAGGTTCAAAAATAAGACAAGCGGGGCATCAATAAACGACAGAAAGGAATATATACCACAAAATATCCCCAAAAAATCAAGAGTCAAACATCTCTTATCCAGATATGACACCTAAAATGCAAATGCTACAACACTCGACTGATTGCCCAGTAACTCAAAACTTTATCCCTAAAATTCAACCTACAAACCAGTCCACCAAAGCTGTGTACTGCCATTAATCTTCTGACAGCTCCGAATACCTCCAACCAACCTCAAAAGTACTTTAACCTTTGAGGGAAAGATTTTCCCTTGGAAATTGACATCCAGTGGAGTTGGAATGAATCCAAATAAAGACCTAGCAACCTTCAATCTAGCTTATAACATGTATGACATCGAGAACATATAACCCATCCTCCAATCAACGCCACAAAGACCACTGCAACACTCGCCTACTTTCATCAAGACCTTTTTCATCCACAAAGTTTCAAGCAACTCCTCAATGTTAATCTAGTCCCCCGGGAAATAAACTTTGTTTCTTACGAAGTTCGCCTCCAGCATCCATTTTTCAATCTCAACATTGTAGACCCTTCCAAATAACATTTTTCAAGCATGCAATTTTTTGCGGCTTCCCCCTTATTCTCACAAAAGAACATAGCTCTGTCAACCTGAAACGAATACAACTTCAAATAAAATATAAATGATCTTGCCAATGCTTTTGAATATTGATTAGTAGTTAAAATTAGCATATCACTATACTTTTTTAAGACTAATTATACTTTGATAGAATTTAAATGATAACATTTCAAGTCCTAAAGTGAACAGAGACTCAAAGGCAACAAATATCAAACTTGAAAAACTTTGGAACAAAGCAGGAACGATCGAACGCCAACTCACATTCGAACGTTCCCTTAAATTATTTGAAAATCCGATGCTAAGACATGGCGCGTTGCAGTCAAGAAAGAAAACATTGAGGTACTTGAGTACCACGTTTGAAAATTCTCCTCCACTATTGAGGACTAGGCTAATGAGTGCAAGGGCAGTAGTTCAAGACGTATGGAAGTAGATCTCTAAAAGAACACAAGTCACTTGAGTGGGGAATTCAAATTGCATCTCCACGTTCAAACGCCCATCAAGCAAATAAAGTAACAACGTTCGAACGTTGTCCCAAGACAGGCTGCAGAGTGGATGGCTTTTAGTAGGACTTTCAAGGCCCGACACTATTCTTTCACACCATCTTGCCCTTCCTCCTTGCCTATAAATACTCCCCTTATGGGAGCTTCAAAGGGGAGTTAGGTGGGCACTAAACCAACATTTTTTTAGCTTGTTATAGAATTAGTCTTAGACTTTGGCTTTCAATTACTTGCAAAAAAGAAGGTAGATTACCTTTTGGTTGCGGTGGAAACTCTCCAAAAGTGACTAACTTTCTTCTACTTTCATTAATTGTCTTTCATTTCCATTGCTTGAACTTCCTTCCTCCCTTAGAATAGTGAAACTCTTCCACTTTTCTAGAACTTTATCAAAGCCGTGAAGGGTGGAACGTAATTCACTTATTCTTTGTCAAAAATCGATTCCTCGCTTATTGTGTTTGACTTTGTAATTCTTCTACTTGGAGGGATGAGCATCACTCACTTTTCTAACTTTACCAAAACCATAAAGAATAAATAATTTCTCATTCACTCTTTAGTAAGAGGTGGTGAACATGTATAAATTATCCGGAAGTTATTTTAGTGCATTTCATTTATGCTTAAATGTTTTATATTTCACTTGCTTATTAAATGATTGACTGTATCTAGCAAAACTAAGGTATTTTATATAACCGTGAGAAATTTCTATAACATAGAAGACTCTTGTATAGAAAGACTCATTGGTTCAGGGCAAGTACCTCGGTTAGATCTTCATGACTATCTTTCAATTTTCATTATTATTGAACTTCATCTAAAAAGATGGAATATTAACGCCGTGGTTGGATGCCTTGTAGAAACACTTGCGTGTTTGTAGACGGGTTGAGTCTCGGCACAGATAATTCTTGTAAACTTCTAGAAAGGCATCGGAACCATGTGCTTAATTCTCACAATTCACTTTTATCTTCCGATTAACTTGCTGTTGACACGAGAGTTAATTGAGTTATCAAACACAAGTATAATAAATCGGATGATTAACTATATGTTCAGATCCTCGAGCTAAAGCGTGATTGTTTATATTTGAATTTATCTTATATTTTGTCTTAAAAAATTTCTTAGAAAGAATGATATATTTGGCCTAGGAAAATCTCTAACCATTATCACTATAAATCTTAAAGGTTACAATCACATGGTCTCTGTCACTGTTTACTTTAAAACATCAACAATATTTCCTTATAGATTCAACTCCGAACTTAACCGGATTATTACTACAACTTGACCGCCTGCACTTGGGTGTACACATATCGGATCAAGTTAAATATCAATCCAAGAAATCAAGAGGCTTCTCTAACACATACCAAAGCTTTGCTCCACTTGCTACAATGAATGAAATCCTACCTAAAACTATTTGAAGTGTACTCCTAACCTGTTTGTTCCACCATTACCAACTTTACCAATTTTTTCAGCAAAAAACTTCCAGCCATAACCATCTTCACTTTTCAAATTCCACAACTTTGTCACCTTTAAGAAATCTCATGTGGCATACTATTCCAACCAAAAAAAAAAAGTAATAGCCTTTGAATGTTTCAAAGAAAACACCCCCATATTTCCGCTTCAAAGCTTCTAAACAACCTCAAAACAAACTTGCCTCAAGGTTTGTAGTCCAAACATCATCCAATGCATGTAGACCCAAGATTTTGTTGGACAAGATCTCTACAATCCAACTTACATTTCTCAATGTAGCTGATAGCTGTCTTTCCCGAAAACATAGCGGGATATCTACAAAAGGTTTTTATTATCTGCCTAACCTGCAAAAGGTAAAACAATTTTGTGTCTATCTGATATGTTTTGGGTTCTGCCCTTTAGACCAATTGTCATACAGTTATTGTCTGAGTCACAACGAATCAGAGTGGACTCAGACATAGCATGGAAAACTAAATTTATCTTATCATAGGAGTTCATTTGATTCTATTTCATTAAATAAGAGAGTGCTAATTAATCATTTTATGTAGTTTTCCACACAATTAAAAAGTTGGTATATAGTCGTATTTCTCATTCCAGGACTCAAATAAATAAAGTGAAGTTATGAGACAAATGAGGCAGCAAAAGGATAAGAGTTAGGCGACCATAAATGAGTGAATGATAGTTACATCTTGGCAAATGGTAGTAACGTTGCTTTCTTGATGGTCATGGAGGTAATGGTGTTTGGTGGGTTTTGGTGTCTCCCGATTATTCTTGATAAGGCCAGATTGAAAATCTATATATGACATGTAATACGTTTTATCATATCTTTTGTATTCTTTTTCTTTCTTGGTGAAGTTCTTGCCCCACATGTACTTTAATTCACTGAAAGCATTTCTTTGTTATTGATCAAAAGAAAAGTGGACATCAAAATCAATGTAGCACCTACCACAAAAATTAAATATAATAAAACATAACAACATAAAGAGATTCCAAGAAATTATCATAGGCCAATGAGACATATAACTCAAAATACCTAGAAATCAAAGAACAATCCACATTCACAAATGTATCATGCTGTGGCTACCACAGAAGCATCAATATCCAATGTAGCTCGGATCTCCAATGAACTCAGCAATTTGTTCAAGGTGCACATTGAGCAACTCGTGAGTATCAGCATCTCGAACAACACCAGTTTCATTCTCAGTATTCCTCTCCACTAGGGTTCCATAAACACCCTTATGCCTACCATATAAAACTAGAACTGGTCCCCCTCGCCGTGGAAGTGCAGTCTCAAGATGTTCCTGACCCACTCCTCGAATCAACTCATTACTCTCATCCATTGATACATCACACATCCCCCGTCCTACCACATCCACAATCTCACCCTTCTTCAAATATAATCTCCCTCCTTTTAACTCCTTACTGATAATTCTAACTCTTATGTGACTAGTTAACCAAGAAACTGGATTCCTCGCACTCACCTCTTCTTCACAATTACCTCTATTCCTACCATCTCGACTCCTTTTACTCTCCTTCTTCCTACCCTTACTCCAATCATCCTCCTTCTCCTTATGTCCCCTCCCAGAGGATGATTCTTTATCTTTACCCCTTTGGTCCGTTAACTCTCTCATCTTCCACTCCCCCAACTTCCTCGAACACTTTTGTTCGTCCACAGAACCCAAGTCAGCAAGATCGCGAAAACGGACCATAACTTCCTCCTCGTTTCGGGAAAGTTTTAAAATAATTGAATCCCCACCACCCATCACCCCCAGAATCCTACCCTTTTGCCCCATATTCTTCCCACCAACTACCCTAACGTCCTGCCCCACATAGAACCCACTTTTATCCTTTTCCTTACCAATATTGCCCCTTTGCTCTCTCTCTTGTTTCGTGTTTTTATTATCTCTTTGGGGAACTTCACCAACAAACCCTAAGCCTTCTTTGGCAGTCCTCCTGGTATATTCAACAACTTTTACATCTTCTTTTGCATTCCTCCCAATGCCCCTACCCTCGTACCAACCATACCCACTGAGCAACGCTTTCCCAAAACCTTCAACGGGCATATCCGTAAATTCATCGAACCCCTTATCCTCCGGCAGCCTCTGCAAATCATCTTTCAATTTCTGTAACATCACGCTCTCTATCGGCTCCGGCCGCTGCGGCTCCGCAACTGCGTCATTGTTAATGGACTGCCGTAGATTCAGGCCGTAGGAGATGGAAGAATCGGTGAGATCTATGGAAGAGGTGGGCTCCAGTTCAAACTGGAGATTATCTGGGCCGCTGGATTGGGCCGGAAGATCGAGGTTCTTCGTCTTCTTGCAAGGCCTCCATTCATTGGCTTTGGGGGGGATAATCAGCTTTTTGGATTCCAAAATTTTTAGGGTTTCTAAGGAATCAAATTCAGTGATGTATTGTTTCGAGGTTGTTGTTAGATCCTCTTGGTCCTTGGGGTTATTGAGAGTTTGCGAACGTTTGAGGTGCTGGGGCAGTGAGGATGGGTTTGAAGAGAGAGAAAAAGAGAGCTTCATGGTGTTGGTGCGCGTGTGCGTAACAAAGACAGCGAGAGCGAGAGAGATATTGACGATGTAGCAGGGGCGGCCCAAACAGGGCGTTGCCGAAAGTATTCAGCTGGTCCGAGTACTACGAAATATATTAGGAAAAATTCAACCGGTTTATTATATCTTCAAAATCACTCATCTATTATCTAAAATGAAGGAATTAACCCTTGTGATGACACGTGTTAAAATATTAAATAAGCTCACGTGAGTTTGGCAAGACCAGTCATGTGACAAGGATATCCTCCTAGCCTTGAGGACCGAGCCGAACTGATCAGTTCATTTGACAAATAAAAAAAGAGTTAGGTTCTCTTAATGATCGAACTCATCAGTTTGTTCAGCCAAGCAAAGAAAGAGCTCGGCTTGTACCAAATCGAGTCTGTTAAAGTGTTCGGCAAGGCAATTGAAGAGATCAGTTTGTACCAAACCAAGTCCCTTAATTTATTCGAAAAATATCAAGTGTGCTCGACATTCGACATAACCGAACTGTTTTAAATGATAAACAGAAAAATAAAGATTCGCCTACAATTTAGGTAATCAGATAAATGAATTAAAGAAATTGAAGATATCAAGAGAAATATTAGCAACTTCCCATAGTGAATGACTGAATTGAAAGAAGGTGTGTCACCTTGAACCTAAATTCATAAAAATTCTAAGGTGATAACGATCTATAAAAAGCAGAAGAGACCAAGGAGAAAGGTACGCTGAACCCCTCTGTCTACTTCCATTCGTTTCATTATTCTTATTGACTTAAGCATCGGAATGCTTTCGATCAAAGCACTTCGATCTTGGGCAGTGTGTTGGTTCTGCAGGAAGAGGAAGATTGGAAGATCAAGTTCAGAATCTCATAACCATTTCAATTTCAGTAGAAGGTAATCTAAATTTTTTGCCTCTTACATTTGGCGCCTTTTGTGGGAAAGATCATCATCTTTCAGAACAAAAAGCTAGGATTTCAAGGCTCAGAAGCGCAATTGGTTCACCTGTAGGCAGTTATTCCTTAGGAAATTCTGATCCTGTGCATCATCCTTCTGACAACAACGCAAGGTTACATGCAGTCAGAAGCCCCTCCAGAATCCATGAAGATGACGAGGTATCCTCTGCGAGTTTCAAGCCCTTGAAAAATCAGAACCAATAGAGCCAGGATCATGGTAAGTCCCTTCGTGCCAATGGGGAGGACCATTCCTTGGCAAAGCTAGTTCAGTCCCTGCAGGATCAACTTGATGCCTATGACAAGCTGTTCAATAAATCCTATGCTAAGGAGAAAGATTTGATCCGAGAAAACGAAGAGTTAAAGGCAAAGTTGAAAGAGGTGACTAGAAGGGAAAAACGAGCAAGAGAAGATTGGCATGAAAGTCCAGGACGGAATCCTAACAGAGTTAAAATTGCCGATGAGAAAGATTACCGGCAAAAGAAGCCTCGAATCCAGGAGGAGGATACGTGGAAGCAGTATATCAACGAAGAGTTCAACCTTCGCTTGAAGAGACCAAAACAGAGATCGGCTAAAGACCTAGCTAGAAGAGCAACAAGGGAGTACGGAGACGGTTTGGAGTCATCCCCATTCACTACTTGGGTCAAAAAAAAAGCACAAATCCCGAGCAAGTTTGTCGTCCTAAACTTCAAGTTGTACGATGGAAAGACCGACCCAGCCTCACATATCAGGCACTTTCGACAACTGGTGACCATCCATCGAAGAAACGAGCCATTATTTTGCACTATCTTCCCTAGCAGTCTGGGGGAGTTCGCCATGAAGTGGTTCGACAGCTTACCCAAAGGAATGATTAACGGGTGGCCTCAATTAGCCGAGCAGTTCACAGCTCGATTCATCACGAGTAGTAAATAACCAAAGGATGTTGGGGCTCTACTGACGCTGAAAAAGAAGAGTAACAAAGCTTGCAAGAGTATGTGCATCGTTATTGGGAAACCATGAATGAAGTCGAAGGGTGCAATCTAGAGATTGTAGTTGCATCCTTCAAGATTGGCTTGCCGAAAGAAAACCCTCTATACCAATCGCTCACAAGGAGTCCTGCTACTGACTTGGAAGAATTAATGGCCAGGATTGAAAAGTATGTCAGAGTGGATGATGATTTATCCAAAGAAGTGATTAAGGAACATCTGAGCAGGAGACAGTTTGGAAGGGAAAAGTAAGTTGAGCCGAACAGAGAGAGAGGAAGGAAATTTGAGAAGGAGGGATATCCCCAAAGGTCCCCTTTTTTGGGGGTAAATACATTGTCCAAAGAACCAATATATAAGGTTCTAAGTCAAATCAAAGGTAAATCGTTCTTCAAATGGCTGAACAAGCTAATAGGTGATCTATCTAAAAGGAATCCAAATTTTAAGTGCTCGTATCACAAAGATATAGGTCATATAACTAAGAATTGTCGATCTCTCAAGCAGCAACTGGAGGAGTTAGTCTAGGCTGAACATCTCACAGAATTCATTGAAAGTGAGCAGAAAACCAAAGGGGGGAGAACTGAACCAAAAGGGGACTCCAACACTTCAGCTGGGGTAATTGATGTGATCCATGCCGCCACCAACCCTCAGATGTCCACGAACAACTCTGCTCGGGCTTATATTCAGAAAGCAGCCAAAAAGAGAGAAGTGTACGAGTTATGAATGACCTCGGAGGTCGCTAACAAACGAATCAAGATAGAGGATACAGCCGAAGCAACCTGTTTCACCGAGCAGGATTTGGTTAGCGTTCACTAACCGCACAATGACGCCTTGGTCGTCACACTTCGGATTGCGAATTTTGATGTGAGAAGGGTCCTAATTGATCCGGGGAGTTCGTCATAAATCATGTATATGGATTTGTTCAAAAAGCTCGACCTCAAAAAAGAGGATCTCAAGCCCTCGAATACTCTACTTATTGGCTTCAGTGGAAAAACGGTTCTGCCCAAGGGAAAGGTCATATTGCCTGTAAAGACAGGACCAGTTTGCGTTATGACCAAGTTCCTGGTAGTGGACACAGTCTCGGCATACAACGCAATTATGGGGCATACTTGGTTGCACGAAATAAAAGCGGTACCATCAACATACCATCAAATGCTGAGATTCCCATCATCTGATGGAGTAGTAAATATTTGAGGAGACCAAGTTAGTTCTAGAACTTGCTTGTTGGCTTCTATCAAGTCTAAAGACAAGGCAGAATGCCCAGGAAATTGCTCTGTGGATGAACAGATGAAATAGCAATCAATATTAGACAGCTCGGTTGACCCTGCCAACCGCTATCAAAAAAAGCCCTAAAGTACCTTTAGGCGAAGAGAGAGAGAGGCTACAAACCGAATAGTTGAAGACTTAGAATACCTCTAGACAGGGATGCTGACCAAGAAAAATATTTTTTGTTAGTAACAGCTCTTAGTTCTGAATAAAGGACAAAGCTCATTACACTGCTGAAAGAATACGCCGATGTATTTGCATGGAGTACCACTGACATGCTTGGCGTATGGCCAGAAGTGGCATGTCATCACTTAAACATAGACCCGAGCTTCAAGCCAGTAAAGCAAAAGCTCAAGAGGTCGGCAACACAGCATCAGGAAGCAGTAAAAGAATAAGTGGCTCGTTTGTTGGAGTCTCAAACAATTATGGAGGTGAAATATCCGACCTGGTTGTCAAACACTATTGTGGTAAAGAAGAAAAATGGGAAGTGGAGAGTCTGTGTTAATTTCACCGACCTGAATAAAGAGTGTCCAAAAGACAATTTCTCCCTGCCGAAGATAGATCAGTTGGTAGACGCAACAATAGGGCATGAGCAGATGAGTTTCTTGGATGCCTACAGGGGATATCATTAGATCCCCCTTGCCAAGGAGGATCAAGAAAAGACTGTCTTTATAACGCCAGAAGGAACGTACTGTTACAAAGTAATGCCCTTCGAGTTGAAGAATGCAGGAGCAACATACTAGAGGTTAGTAACGAAAATGTTTTCACATATGATAGGTAGTACTATAGAAGTTTACATTGATGATATGGTAGTTAAAAGTCGAAAAGCCACGAGTCATTGTGCTAACCTGAAAGAAACTTCCAATATTTTGAGAAAATATAACATGAAGTTAAATGCGTCTAAATGCGTTTTCGAGGTCGGCTAGGGGAAATTCTTGGAATTTCTGGTTACTCACTGAGGAATAGAGGTGAATCCCGAGCAAGTGATGGCTATTGCCGAATTGAAATCCCCTCGAACTGCAAAAGATGTGCAAAGGCTAATAGGAATGGCAGCAGCACTTGGGAGATTTATATCTCGCGCATCTGATAAATGTAGACCCTTCTTTCAGTCAATCAAAGGAAAACATGGAGCACTCTAGAATCAGGAATGTGAGGAAGCATATGCAAATCTGAAAGCATACTTAGCGTCTCCACCGATTCTATCAACCCCGGATCCCGATGAAGGACTTTACCTCTACCTGGTTGTATCAGAGCACGCTATAAGTGGAGCATTGATGAGGAATGACTATGGAAAGATGAAACCAATCTTCTATGTGAGCAAGATGTTCTTGGATGCAGAATCAAGGTATACTCTGTTGGAAAAACTTGCCCTAGCACTAATTAGCTCGGCTAGGAAGCTCAAGCATTACTTCCAAGCCCATCAAATCACAGTACTTACTGATCAACCGCTAAAGTCACTCTTCTATAAAGCCGATTTGTTGGGACGTGTAGCTAAGTGGGCAGTGGAGCTAGGGGAATTTGACGTTCGATTCGAACCACAGAAGGCAATAAAGGGCCAAGTTGTGGCAGACTTTATCGCAAAATTTCTACCTAAGGATATCTTAGTGCAGACTAAAGGGACTTCTTGCAACCGAGAAAGGAAGATCAGCAACAGTTGGACACTGTTCATCGATGGATCCTCAAATCAAAAGGGTGCTGGCGTCGACATTGTTCTAGTAAGCCCAGAGGGATGTACTTTGGAGAAAGCCATCAGGCTCGGATTTGAAGCCTCAAACAACGAAGCGGAGTATGAAGCTTTAATAGCTGGAGTAAGGCTGGCAGTCGAGCAGGGGGCAATGAAACTCCAAATATTCTCCGATTCAAAATTGGTGGTGAATCAGATAATAGGGAAGTA